CAGGAATGTAAAACTCATCTCCCGTATGGATTTCTCATAGGGAAATTTCAGTGCTTAGTGTATTATATCTTCCTATTTCTTCACCCTCACAAAACCTTCTCCCAATACTCCGTTTCATTTGTCATTTCTTCACTCGAGATGGTCAGTGGCGATTTATACATCCACTTTTTGTACTTTCAGATTACTGATCAGATCTGAATACCAAACTTTGCCTTTCCAGGAATTTTCTGCTATTAGACTCCAGTTACACCAAGTTATCATATTCCTTTTACAGTCAAAAAATCCCAGTCCTGGAGCCAATTTACAATTTTCTTCATTCTACCACCTGCTTAAATATCAAATAAACAAGACGCAGGGAATAACAGGAAAAAAAGCAGGCTTTTAGGCCCTTTATGGCAGATGCTTCTATGTTTGTGGGATCGTGGCAAAAAATTCTGAAATCAAGTGTATACCTTTAACGGAGCTAGAAATTTCCCTCAAATGGCAAAAGAGAGGTATTACACAGGACACCAGTTGAGTTTTATTATGAAATGGAAAAAAATATGCACATGAAAGGAAAAAGTAACTTTTACATGAAAATAATGAAGAAAACATGCACAAAAGGCCAGCATCAAAAGAGCAAACAAGACACGGTATCTCCATTTTTCGTATCTCAAAATTTGCTTTACATATCCATTTTTTGGCTTCTAAGAAAATTAATTTCCCCAAAACAAACTGAAAAGGTAAGCGGTACTTAAATCTGGAAAGGCTATTTTCATATATGTAAAGCTAATACAGACAACTTTACCTTCTTTTCTGCTTCATATTCTGCCCACGCTGCCTTCCTTTCTTCTTCAGTGAGTTCCTCTTCCTCCTTATGGTCCAGGAGTGAATCATGTTCGTGATATCCAACTATATATTCCTTATTGATCTGAAGCAATTCTGCCAGAATTGTATCCTGTTCAAATGAAGAGACGATAAAATGAGAAGCCACTCATAGCTCTACTGTATACACCCTTTCTGCCTAACTTACTGCTTTGACCCAATTTCACAGACAGCAGCTCAGAGCACTTCACAGCAAAACAAAATTAAAAAATAATTTAAAAGTACGACTTTCCTCCGAGGGAGGGTAATGGATTAACAATCTGTTACAGAGATGACAGTCCAATCGCTTATAGGAATGCACTCAGATTCCACAACAATAAAAGCAGTTTAAGAACCTAAAAAGAATGGAATGTGCTCAATGATTTTTCCTTTGCTTAGGCTGGATACCTGAGAGGACCTATCAATAATCTGCATCTATAATATATAAAAGGCACCTCTACTGGATTTAGAACACTAAGTAGTACTTTGGTCCATCAGCTGTCCATCAGCATTCAACCGAAAAAGCTGCTTTCTTCAAACAGTTCAGATACTTGTCGAGATAAATAGTCCTCCACCCATCTGGACTTAGAAAGGTCAGATCACTGCTATGAACTGGACTTGACCAGCAGGTTGCAATTTAGACCTCTATATTCCACAATACCGCTAATGCTTAATTGCTTTTAAGGTTAACCGAAATATTTACAATGCCTTTTATAACAGCAAACTATGGTGAAGGCTTTGTTCATATGCATACTAACATTTTACATACATATATCTGCATTTTCATATATATATATATA